AGGGCTGGGCGAAAGGGAGGCGACGGAGGTGGAGAGCCAGGGGAGGGAGAGAACAAAAGCCTTGCTTGGAGCGGCCGCCTCGCTTTCCTGGAGCTGCCAGGTCCCTGGAATCGGGACCTTGGCTGCTCCCTCCCCCCTTATTTCTCTCGCCCCTCTTCTCTGCCACCACCTCTCCCGACTCCCCTTGCCGCGGCTGGCCTGGACTTCTAGGGCCTGAGCCCCCGCCCCGCGCGCCAGTCACCCCCGACACCCCCGACACCCTGATTCGTCAACTTTCCCGTTTGCCTGATTCATTATGCAAGTCCCAGCACGAGCAAGGCGCAGCAGATGGGAGAAGGCATTTGGGGATTAATGGAGCTATTTGCCTTTTGCTTGTTTTTAAAGTGTCTCACTTGATTCGCACAACCCAGTAACTTTGGAGGCGAGGATACAGCGGCGAGGACGCAGCCTCAGACCCCGGAGAGGCGAGGGGTTGGTGTGAGGTTCCAGCGGGTGGGGTCGAAGAGCGACAGGCGGCCTGCGAACAGCTGGATGGCTGTGGAGCAAGCTTTATCCTCTATCCCGAGTAAGGGCAACGTAGTCACCATGTGTCACCTGTCCACACACACGCACACCCCATACCTCCACCGGGGGCCTGAGTGTGCGCGTGTGTATGCACGGGCGCTCGGCGCCTGCCTAAAAATTCTGAACAAAGAGACCCAGCAAAAATAGGCGAAGGAACATCACCACCTCACTAGTAATTATTTTCTATTTATACGCAGAGTATCCGATGACTTTTTTTTCTTCCGAAGGGGAGGGATTTGGAGGACGAGGTGAGGAAGTTCCTCTCGGTTTGGGTCAGCAGGGAGGTGTGTGCATGGATGGTGAGATCTTGAGGCACAGAAGTGAGCTCCGAGGGGATTCAGGGATCCCTGATCTACTAAAAGAGTAGAGCGCTGGCCCCGCCCACCTCCCATCACCTCAAGGTGCCCGGTCCCCAACCCCACCGGCCCGGTGGTTTCACTTCCCCCGCATCCCCGCCGTCACCATAGATTCCCGAGGTCTGTGTTAAGGTGAGGGTGCCATAGACGCAGGACTGCGGCAGCGCCTGTCGCCTTGGTGGGGAGAGGTTTTCCCAGGGATAGGTAGGCTGTCTCGCAGATTCAGGTTAATACCTCTGCGGAAATCTTTGCCTAGCACTTTCCTTGCAAACCCGCGCTTAAAGGAGTCCTCTCCGGGGTTGCTGGTGGTGGCAGGGATTTCGGAGGGGTGGGAGGAGGGAAACGGGAAGGTAGGAGAAGAGCTAACCTTTGAGCATCTATGGGAGAAAATGATGCTAGCTTCCGGCCCTCTTTGATCTGGGTTTCGCCGTGAGTGTGCACTCCACCTGATACCTTAGGGCCCAGCAAGGACTCAGCTTCCTGGCCCTGCCCCCTTGCAGCTGTTAGGGGAAAAAGAATCACTACGGCTCAGCCAGTGGCAGCCACATTCTTCTGCAGGTACCAGGAAAGGTGTGCTTAGGGGGTGGGATCTTGGGGTACCCAGACCTGTGGTAACAGCCTCAACGCAGGCCCTCCTTGTATACATTTTGGGAATTCCAGAAAGAAGTCCAAGTACACAGACCCGAAGAGAGAGAGGAGTTAATTTTTACTGGCAGCTTTCAAGGGACCTTTTTCAACCTTGGCACTGTTTAGGGTCACCTGTAATTCTTAAAAAACACAAGACAACACAACAACAACACCAGAAACCCCGCCCTAGGCCTCACTCTAGACTGTTTAAATCAAAATCTTTAGGGGGAGGGCCCGAATGTCTGTACTTTTGTAAAGCTCTCCAGGCTTTACAATGTTCAGCCACTCACTGTTGAGGAAAAGAAATAATATTTGCAGAGCACAGTTCTGGATGCCTGGCACTGCACTAAGGGTGTGTGTGTGTGTGTGTGTGTGTGTGTGTGTGTGTAAAAATATTCTTTCCTTTAGTTCTCACAACTACCCTGTGAGACGGGTGCTATTTTAATTCCCACTCATGGAAGAGAAAATCATGGTTCAGGTTGGGTGGGCTTGCCCAAGGTCACACAGTTAGAAAACTGTGCCATATCTAGCCCCCTGGTTTCCACTGTGTCTGGGGCAGACA